AAAAATGTGCACTAGTGATCTTGTTTCCAATATGCAAATGTTTGTCAGCCTCCTCTGTCATATGGCTGAAAATAATTTTCGACGCGAGATGAAAATATTAATATTTCTGAGTCAGCCGATGACTTCTGAGTTATATCGTGCTATCGAAATTCTGAGACAGGCATGCGGAGATAGTGTAGTGGTATGACCTCGATAAATAGAGTAGCATTGCTGGGTGTTTTAATGAAAGGGCAACAAACCACTGGCATCATTCCTGATCGTTTGTGCAGGTACACATTAAAGCTAATCCTTGTGTATGTTTGTACTCTGTGGTGAAGAAGTGAACACCACTTTTTCGCATTCCCATTACAAAACAGTTATGAGTCATATGTGAGTAAATGTAATGCTGAAAATTACTAATTAGGACCAGAAACGAGGACGAATGTGCATTCTGCGTCGCTGAGGACATAGACGTAGAGGATGACAGCGGTCACCCGAATTTCTGTCCTCCTAAAGAAAACGTAGGCAATTGCGTAGATCGAGGTGCAGAGAGGGAGAAATCGTTAACAACTCGGATAATGCCTGAAATATCTGCACCCCCGGAAAACGATGCAAATGAAGCAAATACAAGTAGGTTTAAACAGAAAGCAGAAACCTCAGACTTTCATATCGCGTTTGCCTTAATATGGAACAATACTCTAGCGTAAAACGTATTTTTTCAGAACACTCGACAGGAGTCAGTTCCATGGAGAATGTGAGGCCAATTGCTCCTTATTCACTTGATTTTCGGCCCGTTTCCGAAATGAACAATAACAACGTATCTGCTGGCCTGAATTTCCTAAATCGAACGATCAGACGCACCGGTACTACATGAAATGTGTTTTTCTATTTGTTTATTCAGTTGATTTAAATTTGAATCATTTTTACATCATATTCTCTTGCACAGAAAATATTCACCAGAAACCTAAGGCTAAGCATAGTTAACTCACTGCAGCCTATTACAAACTTGCTTTAATAACGATTTTAGGCATTGTTTTGCATATATCCAGCTGTTTGGCTTTCTAGCAGTTCGTTAGTAGCCCATCTGTGAGCTTTAGATGGTCCAAGTTCGTTTCCATTGATTTCCTAATGACGCTATTTGCAGAAATAACAACTCTTCAACTGATTCACATGCATCAAATCAGTTGCCAGATTTTGGAACCTTCTTCACGCATGCTTTTTCTTTAGTGGAGCACTAACAGAAACAATCGCATCTCTGTTACCGTAGCTATTAAAGAATAATCTTATTAGACGAAGAAGACCTGTTATTATAGGCGGTCCAATTAGATGACACATTGGTCATCCTCAAACACGCTGGATAATGTTGATAACACGGAGTCGTTTCTGAAATTATGCCTCTATCATATGCTAATTTTTGGTGTATGACCGTTGTGATGCAGGTGTACTCCCTGAGGTACTCAGTATTAATCAAAGCCAAACAATCTGCGACAGTACGTTGGATCGATTCCATTGTACCGATGGATATCCTTCACTTATCCGAGATGTTCTCGTTTATGATGCATTTTCGATAATTCTGCGTAAGCGCCACTTGATCATGCATCATCACAGCAAATCCTGTTTCCTGCAATAATTCTACCACTCGAAGCCAAGGAAACGACTTATGCAGGTCAATTCCATCATAAATACAGACATCATAGTAATTTGTAATGCCAATGAAGAGGTTCCTTTCTCCATTCATCAACGATGGATATTACATATCTTTTCTCCACAGAGCAATCGTACTCACATAGTGCTGATGGCATATATCCTTGATCTACTTCAACTATGACCCCATGTTTTGAATCCTTCGTCTGGAAGTTTGCGCGAAGGGTACTTTCTTCTTCGATCCGAAGATCATCAACTTTCAGCAGACAGCGGCCGCAGTGCCTACCTGGTAGATATTACCTGAACATAGATAATCCGAGATGATCGATGCAAAAATTCGATCAATATAGTCCTTTTGATTAAGTTACTCGAAGGACGTCTGGGACCATTTCAAGAACATATATTGGCACCGGCATGTCAACAGAAAACGTTGATCTTACTTACGTAAAAAAGTTTTTTTAGGACAAGCATGAACGTTCGTTGAACATCTTTAACCCAATTTTTCTCACTCGCTCAGAGAGGATCCAGGGAAGTCCCTTCAATCAGAGGCATTTGTAAAATGCTTCAGGTTTAGTTTCTGAGCTGCTGTCCCATCCTCGAGATAAATAAATCATCAGTTAAATTATTTATCAATTTCTAGATGAATTGTGACTCATGCTCTCCGGATAAACCATTTGCCCATGTGTCTGATGCTCAAAAGAAAAGACGTCCTGACAACGAAATCCAAATAACGGATCTGAAATACAGCTGGCAGCCCTTTTGAGTCAAAATGATTTGATTCGTGAATGGCGACGAATTCTTAATCTTCTTCTTGAAGCCGAAGTTCTGTTGTCAAATAATGGAACGATGAATCACCTGTCTTTTATGTTGAAAGAACTTTCTTTGACCTACAGGGTTAACACGATGTGATCTGTAATTATTGTGGCCTCTCAATGCTTTGATTAAAATTATCAAGATCTTTTAGAGTTCTAATCTGAAGTCCTCCTTCTTGGAATGAATCAATAGGCGCTCGTTTAACACTCATTCGCGAATATTCCGATGTGACAGGGCTTTGCTCAGCAAAATCGATAATATTTCTGTCCTGATGAGCTCTATAGTGTTTCGTTTCTTCCACATTCATCGTCTTTCTATCCGTGACCCTTATATGCTCCTCTGTTGCCCATCTGGCACGTACTAATGATCGATGTTAGGTTCGATTCTGTCACTCTTACAACAGCAATAAGTTATTTCTGTGATTATATTTAACCTCTGTTTAGATGTACCTTCAGCAAATTACGCATTTTGCATTTCAGGCAAGCTGTACTTGACTTGGCTCGTTGTCGTCAGCTGCACCTTTGTGTACAACGCATTCCTCATGCCCTTTCAGGCAACATTTCTCCGTAACTCTGGGGCCAAATTGTACAAATGGATTGGTGTGCAGTATATCTGTGACGTCATCTATTTGATAGACTTGCTGGTGGTCAAGCCGAGGATCGAAATAATGCAAGCGGGAATTGAAATCGTAATTTTCATTGTTAGTTTCATATTGATGATTGATGTCATTTCATATGGTTTAGAAAGATGTCAAGGTCTCACGACATCATTACCTGAAAAGTGGAATGTTTAAAGTCGATCTTCTCTCCATCCTGCCATTCGATGTCCTGTACGTTTTGCCATATTTCAGGTTCAATCCTTTGCTGCGTATTAACCGAATGTTGAAGGTAATGAGTATCGTCACTTACGATTCAACTACAGAATACTTTCCCCTTCAAGTTAAATTTACCTCATACGGACGGACACTAACTAAGTTAATAAATATTTACGTAGCTATATTTTCATTCTTCAGGGAACTAGCGACTATGTAATAAGAATGCCAAGGAAGACGATAATGGAAGAACTGATGCCGTCTTAATGTAGCTCTTCCCGTACAGCAAGAAAAAATTATTTGTTTTGCGAGGTTCATAGATCTATGAAAAAAATATATACTGATCGTTATCATGTATGACACCAGGTGAAACCTGGCCCTCTAAAATCAGGAATTTTCAACTTCGTAATATAACGCTGCAAATTTCTTCCTCTGTTCAGACGGATAAAGACGCGTGCAATAACCCTTGCTTGACAAAACAACCTCAGAACTTATTAGGCCGTATTTTATTTAAATTCACCTTATTGATTTTCAGATAACAAGTTTTGTGGAGACGTTTCGACGGTTCGACAACATGTTTGAAAGCCCATTTGTATTCCGGTCAGTTAGCGAGCCTTGTCAAATTTAGCAAGTTTCATGGAAGATCGCCGTTTTAAGGATGGGCAAAACGTTCTTCTATGTTTTCTACATCATTCACTGCAACAGCTGCATCTACTATGCGATATCGTTGTGGTCAGGCATCGGCAGCAATGACTTCGTGTACAGTGGCGAAGGCAGAGCCTACCTGCGCTGTTTTTACTTCGCAACCAAAATCGCCACCTCTGTCGGCAACAACCCGGACCCAACGAACGTCGTGGAGCACATCTTCATGCTTTGTTCGTGGCTGATGGGAACGTTCGTGTTCGCCATTCTTCTCGGACAGGTATCTACAAATTGTCCTTACATTTGGCCGTTGACTGGCAAGATCCCTCTCGAGTAAATTCTTTACTCCTTGAATCTTGGTCATGACAATAATCCCTGAGTCAAATTTCTTTTTCGAATCACTGGCATCTGTTTTGCTAGCCCTAACCTCAAATTTCAGTTAATTTATTTATTTATGTTAAAGCGTAGCTCTCAGCAACAATGGACACTCCAGTCATAAGGATAGGGTCGAGCGGTAATACACCTCGGTTGTGGCTTGAATTGCGTTAACGCTGCTCCTAGTTCCAGAACGTATGGAGTTGGGCTCTTGGAAATTTCCCACCCGAGGATTGATTAGCACGTTCCATGATTGATTGGACAAGTTTAAATAAAGTCTTGATTACAGACATTGTGATGCTGGCGACAAATTAATTCAATTTATCATATAACTGAGATTAGTCGGATCGTTCGAACGAATTACTCTCTGGTCTTTCTCATATAAGAGATTATACATTGCAGGACTGGTATATAAGATCAAAGAGCCTTGGTATACAGCCTTTGCTTCTCCAGATTGAGAAGTCACAGCTGCGATGGCTTGGGCATGTG